ATCTCGTGCTTGGAAATCTGGATGGATGATGAGACGTGAGATGAAGATCTAGGCAGTAGGAACATGGTGACTGAATTTTTTTGTTTTGCTTGTTTTGTTCTGTTTTGAGGGGTGAATGCCAAGATAAGGGGAGGTAGAAACTGTGTCTAGTTTTAAAAAACCTGCAAGAACCAATGGCAGTTGGAAGTGATAGATTTGGAGCTTGACAAGTACTTTATGGCTGGCAAGGGCAATTTTGAAGTCACTTGGGTACAGGAGATTGCAAAGCCCTAGGCCGGGGTGAGTTTGCTCCCTTGTGGAGAGCTTGTCGAGGTGTGGGTGTTAACCTCCTTTAGGTCCTGAATGACTTTGAGACTCGCCACCCGGGAGTCAGAAAGAGCCACTTGACTGGTGACCTTAGTCAAGTAGTTTGGGCAGAATAGGAGGGAATGGAGCCTGCAGTGTGCCAAGGACTGACTGAGCAAGGAAATTGAGTAAGTGTGACAGTGGGAGCTGGCTGTGGTGGGGAGGCGTGGGCGAGGGCCAGTTAAGGGGGTGATCTCTGTTCTTATGAGAGTTAAGTCATATTTTAAGTAAAGTCAGATGAACTTTTGTTGTCCAGGATTATCATAGAAGTACCACCACCATGTAATATTAAAGCAGCCTTTCATTTAAAAACAGATAAGCAAATAGATGATGGCAGGCACATCACAGCAGTTCTCTTATACACCATCAAGAAAAGATCTTAGAAACTTTTGATTTAGCTTCCTGAAATCTCATGGCAAGAAAATAAATATGTTTACTCGTTTGCAGCAGAAGTTACACCTCCTCAGACACTCTCGTGAGTGTACCAGTGGTGAGTGTGTGTGTGCGCGCACCCACTTACGTTTTGTAGGAAGAGGGCTGAGATGGGAATGGGGGAGATGTGTGTACTTTATTCCTGGTTTGACGATGTTTGTGAATAAATAGTTGTGGGAATTTTATATTTTGCACAATCATAGCCCCTCTTATTACTGCTTTCTAGACTAGAGGAGGTGTGAGTGCTGAGACCTATTGCTCCTCCTTGCCCCTGGGTGACCTTGGCACCCACGGTTCCTCAAAACAGAGCCACATGCCCCCAGAAGGCCCCTAATGTGTCTTCCATCTGGCTCTCAACACCTCTGTTCTGTTGCTCCTCAGGACAGTAATGTGAAAGTGATCCTGAAGAGTTATGAGAAAATGTGGAACTTTATTGATCACGTCCAGTTGGACCCTTTGGTTGGACATCATAAGACTGGAAGTGGGTTTGCATACAAATACCCTGGCTCTGTCACAAGGCTGTTAAACCCAGTGAATGTTATTTAATCTTACCTGTCAAGGGAAACGAATAACTTCCTGATGAGATACCAGCAGCATTCAAAACATTACTCATCGGGACTTCCCTGGCAGTTCAGTGGTTAGGGCTCGGCACTTTCACTGCCGGTGTCCGGGTTCGATCCCTGGTTGGGGAACTAAGATCCCGCATGGTGCAGGGGAGAAAAATTACTCATAAACTGAACATTATTAAAACTGTACTGGACCAACTGAGGTTATGCCACAGCCCTGCACTGTTCCAGGGGCCTGGGCCCTGGCCTCTTGCAGCTCCGTCCTGCTTAGACCTGGGGCAGGGCCCTACTCTAGATGAGGGACCTGGAGATTTTGCAACAGAGGGGAGAAGGAGAGGCTTAATAGCTTCCCTCTCTTCTTGACAAAGATATAAATTCAAATTTTGACCTATGGAATTCACTTAAAAATAGAGGAACCTGGAGGACATCAGAAAGGACTAGGGAGTGAGCTTGGGACAGAGATAACTTGGTGACAGGAGCAGAAAGGTGAAGGCAGATATGACCTCTGTGACTATTGCTGCTCCACTGGCATGATTGGTTTGTGGAGAGTTTAAAAAAAAAAAAAAAAAAAAAGCAATCTCTATCCAAAAGTATCGAAAGCAGCATCTCAGAGATCTGCACACACTTGTTTACATGAAGCAACATTTTCACACTAGCCGAAGCAACCCAAATGTCTGTCAACAGATAAATGGATAAGAACATGGTCTATACATACAATGAAATATTCGGCCTTAAAAAGGGAAGGGCATCCTGTCACACAGTACAACCTGGGTGAACCTTGAGGCCGTAATGCTAAGTGAAATAAGCCAGGCACAGAAACACAAATACTGCACAGCTCCACACCTCAAGTAGGCAGAGACTCTTAGAAGATAGAACGGTGGCTGCCAGGGGCTTGGGGAAGGGGAAAGGGGACCCATTGCTGTTCCCTGGGTATAGACTTTCAGTTTTGCAAGATGAAAAGAGGGCTGGAGATGTGTCGTTCAACAGTATGGGTCTAGTTAATCCTACTGTACACTTAAAAGTATTAAGCTGGTGTATTTTGTGTTATGTGTTTTTTTTTTACACAACTTTTAAAAAAAGCAAACAGGATAAAAGAGCGGGTGTACCTTTTGCTATTCCAGTTAATTGTCATCCTCCAGTGGCCAGCCTCTGAGTGGAAGGTGGTAGAATTAGGGCAGCCGCAATTGCTGCAGTAACTGTGATTTACTGAGCGCTTACTGTGAACGAGGCGGCACGCTAAATGCTTATGTGCACTCATCAATTCACTGAATATCATGTCAGCTCTGTGAGTTAGGCGTCATTGTCTCCATCTTACCAGTGAGGAATTGAGTCATTTGCCCAGGAACACACAGTTCACAGTGGCAGGGCTCTGGGACACAGACCCAGCTCTGTCTGATTAGAGTTGTTGACCCCATTCTCAGCTGCCATTTATTCGTCCATTCACTCACTGAAAATCATTACTGTGTGCCAGGCACTGAGCTGGATGCTGAGGATACTGGGGGTTTAGGCCCCGACTTCATCGAGCTTACAGCCAACTGTGAGAGACAGTAAGCAGGAAAAGATGTGAATAAGGAGCCAATGACAAACTTTGATAAGTGTTGTGAAAGATGGTGCTGTGCTAGAAGACCGTTCAGGGCGGAGGTTGGGCTGACTTAGATGTTTGAAGAGGGTTTTCAGAGAAGATCTCGCAAGGGCTGTTATCCCTGGGGAGAGAGGTGTTAGCGGCACGGAGGGGCCCCAGATGCCATCCCCACCCAGGCCCTCTGGAGCCCACAAGAGCCTCATTGGCCGCAGAGCTGTGACCCCTGTGGCATGGCTATAACGAAGACAAGAAACCGAAACATTCCCTCAAGACGAGAAGGTGGGTATGTGAGGGGAGGGGGAATAGGATGAAGGCAGTCAGAAGGGACAGGCTTCCAGTTAGGAGATAAATAAGCACTAGGGATGTCAGGTACAACATGATAAATACAGTGAACACTGCTGGATGTTATATAGGAAATCTGTTAAGAGTAAATCCTAAGAGTTCTCATCACAAGGAAAAAAATTTTTTTAAATTTCTTTTTCTTTACTGTATCTGTCTGAGATGATGGATGTTCACTAAACTTATTGTGGTCACCATTTCATGCTGTAGGGAAGTCAAATCATTAGGCTGTACACTTTAAACTTATGAAGTGCTGTATGTCAATTATATCTCAGTAAAACTGGAAGGAAAAAAAAAGACGAGAAGGTAGAATTCAAAGGGGAAGAAAGAGAACTAACTGCTCTATCAGAATTGTAAAATGTGTACTCCAATGGCCTCGTGATGAAAGAATCCCAGTCCCACCAAATTCCAACAGTGTTCCCTTGTCCCACTGGGTCACCTCACCTCTCTGGGCCTCAAATCCCTCGTTTGTGTGGGGAGAAAAAGAAAATAGAACTTCTCCCTGGATAGATTTCTGATAGTATTAGCAGTGGTAGTAGAATAATTAAAACACTGCCTGGTTTAATTCTCTTCTGTTTAGGCTAAATCTTGAATGCTTGTTTGGTTCTAATTGCCACATTTTGAGAGAGACATAGACAAAATAGAGAGTGTTCAAAAAGCAGGTCACTAGAGAGAGAGTGGGTTGAATTCGGGATGCTTACACTGCAGAGGTGAATACTAAAGGATGAAATGACGACCTTCAACTGCGTGAAAGGCTGATGTATAGAGAGAGTTGACTGCTCACATAGTGAAGAGTGTTGACTTGTTCTGTGTCTGTTCAAAACACAAGTCTAAAACCTGGGAATCAGGTCCAACTAAGAAAAGAGCTTTTAATAAATTGCTGTAAGTGATAATGAGCTCTCAGACCATGGAGGTACTCAAATGGAGACTGGATAACAGGTTGCTGTAGGATTTTTTGATTGGGAAAGAGGTTGCTCTGCATGTACTGTCCCATTCCTCCAACTTGCATGCTTAGAAGTCACTTTACAACCATGGCTTTAGGCTGGAGGCAGGCGGAGTATATTTAGCTGCAGGTATTCTATTTAGCTGTAGGTGATGTGCCCTTGCGCACCACTACAGAAGTTAAACACAAGCCCATCTGTATTGATTAGAAGTTTGAACTGTGGAGGAGCTCTACATGGTGTTGGGCCCCAGTCACATATTCTTGAAGGCCCTCTGCCCAGCCCCAGCAGCCACTCACTGCTTCATTTGTTACTGTTTGTAACAACTCACATACTTTAGGAAAGGGGTTAACATTTTTCCATGTATATATTTATTCACATTTTAATCTTTTGTTTTGAATATCTAGCACCTTCACATTGTTCGGCATTTGAAACGGTTCACAGGCAAAAGCTTCCCTGTCACCCCGTCCCCCTCCCCAGAGGCAGCCGCTGTTACTAGTTTCTCACGTCCTGGTCTGGAGAGATTTGAAGTGCGTGTATACATAAGCACGTGTATGTTTTTTCTTCTGCACTGTGCTTTTTAAAAGACAACATATATCAGGACATCTTCACACTACTATGTATAAAATAGGTAACTAATACGAATGATAAGAACCTGCTGAAAAGCACAGGGAACTCTACTCAATACTCTGTAATGGCCTAAATGGGAAGAGAATCTAAAAAAAAAAAAAAAAGAGTGGATTATATATATATATATATATATGTATAACTGATTCACTTTGCTGTACACCTGAAACTAACAGAACATTGTAAATCAACTATACCCCCCCCAAAAAAAAAAGATATCTTGAAGCTTAATCCATAGCGGTGTAAAAAGTGTGCCCCACTCTTTTTCACGGGTGCATGTTATTCCCCTTCCCCTATTTGTGGGACAGTTAGGTTATTTCCAGCTCTTTGTTACTACGGGGTTGACAGTGGACCACCTTATACCTACAACACTGCGCTCATGGACAAGCACATCTGTAGGCTATGTTCCTAGAAGCAGACTTGCTGAATCAAAGCAGGTGAGCGTTTGTAATTTTGTTAGCTATTGTTAAATATTCTCGGTAGAGATTTTACCACTTCTCACTCCCACAAGCCGTGTGTGAGAGCGCCTAATTTCCTCACTTCCCTGCCAACTCAGTACATTGTCACGTGTTTCAAGCTTTTCCAAAGTAAGTGAAAGAAGGAGAATCAAGATTGGTTTTAATTAGTATTTCTCGTGCTCTGAGTGCAATGGAGCATCCTTTCTTGTGTGTGAGCTCTTGCTGGGCTCTGTAGTGGGGCCACTGAAGAAAGTCCACGGTGCAGGCTGAGCCTGGGAGGGGAGAGGAGAACAGAGCCCCCAGGGGGGAGAGCCAGAGAGTTCGCTTTAGATGAATGCTCCTGAGAGGCTCAGGCGTGCCCACTGGCCTGCAAGCTATCTAGCCTGTAAAGTCTCTGACCCATGCTGGAAAAGTTCAGTTAAAACAAAACCAATGCGATTCAGAAGGAAAACCGTATCCAGAACAAACCACTTCCTATTTTGCTCTCTTGAATTTTTAGTTTTAAATTTAATAAAGTAATTTACCTTTGTACTTGGAACAGCATTTGGGATTCAAGTACATTTCCCTGTAACATGATTAACTTTGAAAGGTGCCGGTCCTGACTAGTTGGCTTTCAAAGTAGCCTCGGTTTGTCCCCAGCTTCCCCCTGTCCCCACCTCCTCACCCTCCAGCCCCCACCCTGCTTCCCATAGTTTCTCTGTGGGTTCGAGCAGGTTTCGGCAGACACCAGAATTTTCACTGGGGCGCTGGCCTTGCACAGCCTCCCTGCTCATTAGCAGCCTGACCCATTAGTTCTCTGAAATTCTTATGTCCAAACCAGCCCAGTCCAGTTTTCCACCTAGAAAGGGACCTTCCAGTCTCAGTGCGCATTTGCTTTGGCTTTTGATAGTAAGCTTCCCAGGTTCAAACCTATCTTGGTTGATGGCAGCACCACCCTTCCGGTTGCTTAGGTCAAAAACCCCAGAGTCATCCTTGATTCCTGTGGATGCGATGTTCACATGCTCCATCCTTAGGAAATCTTGTCAGCTCTACTTTCAGAATGTGTCCAGAATCCAGACATCTCTCTTTACCTCCATCTCTACTGTCCTGGACCAGGCTGTTGTCATCTCCTGCCCGGATTGCTGCCATACCCTCCTGACAGGTTTCTGCTTCTCCTCTTGCTTTTCCTGTGGCCTGTTCTCAACACGGCCAGCAGATGCGTCCTGTGGGACACAAGTCAGATCACATCAACCCTCTGCTCCAAGCCCCCCCAGGGCACTGTCCATCTCAGAGAAACCCAAGTCGTCACAATGGCCCTGCACAGTCTGCCTCCCCACCTCTTTGACCCTGTCTTCTCCTGCTCTCTCTTGACTACTCCCACTCAGCTGTGCTGGCCTCCTTGCTGTTCTTTGAACAAACCAGACACATTCCCACCTCAAGGTCCTTGCACCAGCTTGTGCCTCTGCCTGGGACACTCTTCAACTCCAGATGGCTCACTTCCTCACCTCTGAGTCCCTGCTCCAATGTCATGTTCTCAGCAGAGCCATTCTAGCCACCATAATTAACATTGCCACCTCATCCCCTCCCCACCTACCACATTCCTTGTCCCCCTTCCCTGCTTTATTTTTCTCCATTGTACTTACTCCTCTTTAACACACAATTTCACTTATCTATTTGGTTTATTGTCTGTCCCCTAAACTAGAATGTAAACTCCAGGACGGCAGAGAATTTTATATCTCTTTTTTGCCTTACCCATATTCTAGCGTCTAGGACAGTGCCTGGCATGGGGTAGGTGCTTAGTAAACATTTGTTAAATGAATTAACTTTCTTTCTTTTCTCTATCAAACTTGTTCTTCACAGTCTGCCAAACCTAAAGGGAAACAATCAAGTGTTGTATTTTGGTATTGGTATTGGGGGTGAATTAAATCCAAGAGCAATGCTTATATTTTTCTGGGGAATTTCACAGTGTAAATAACCTGGCATCATTGGGTAACAACTTTTTTTTTTTTTTTTTTGTGGTATGCGGGCCTCTCACTGCTGCGGCCTCTCCCGTTGCGGAGCACAGGCTCTGGACGCGCAGGCTCAGCGGCCATGGCTCACAGGCCCAGCCGCTCCGCGGCATGTGGGATCTTCCCGGACCGGGGCACAAACCCGTGTCCCCTGCATCGGCAGGCGGACTCCCAACCACTGCGCCACCAGGGAAGCCCTGGGTAACAACTTTTATGGAAGGATTAAGTATGATGCATGAAACTCCATTAAGAAAAGTGATAAATACATTCAGACTCCATCTGGAGAATTCGATTTGGATTCAGGTGCCACTCTTAAGAGGGCTCTAGACAAATAGCACATTCAGAGAAGAGCAATTGAGATGACGCCAGACATTCCAACCCATGACCCCAAGTGCAGGAATGAGAATGACTGGCTTGGGGGGTAAAAGACTCTTAGGGAACATGATTCCTTTTTTCAAATGTTGAAAAAGGTGTCATGTGGAAGATTTATAGGTCTTCAGATCTTCTCTGTATACCTGTTGTCATCTCCTACTGCCCTCTACCCCATCAGAAGCAGACCCAGCTTTGGTGGAACCTGAACATTAGGAGGGAGGGTCTCCTGAGGGCGAGGGGACGTGTCTAGAATATAAGCATAAATTTATAAAAATATAGATACATTCCTTGGAAAGTGCCCATCAAGTGAGGGTCCCTGCAGCTTCAGCTTCTTTAGCTTCATGGGAAATACACCACATTCAGACTCATATGCCAGCAAAGCCGAACTCCTTGGTAGCTCTCCAACCATGTCCCCTCTTTCCTCCGTGGTTCTGCATAAAGAGTTCCTCTGTCTAGAGCACCTTTTTCTTAACATGTCTGCTTGTCAGTATCTACTCATCCTCCAATGTCTGTTTCAAAGGCTGCCCCTTCTGTGAAGCCTTACCCAACTCCAGAAAACTTAGGTGGTGGTAAATCTTTTCCTACACCCTCACTGAATCTTGCAATGCCTCCACTGCAACACTCGGCTTGTCATTCGATTTTTGTTGATTTATTTGTCTGGCTTCCCTTGTACTGTGTATCTGTCAGGATGGGTTGGATTATGCTGTAGTAACAAGCAACTCCAAAAACTGCAGTGGCTTAAAACGACAAGGGTTATTTCTTGCTCACGTTATGTGTACATTGCAGGTCAGCTTTTGTTTTCCCTAACCCAGGCTAACAGTAACCATGATCTGAAACATTGCCAGTTGCCAGGCCAGAGAGTAAACAGTGAAGCAAAGCGTGTACTTTCTCTTAATGCTTTTCCCTAGAGACGACACATTTGCTTACATTTCACTGTTTACACCCAACTGCAGGTGGTCAGGGAAGTCCACTGTGTGCAGAAGGAAAGTAAGCCCCAGATTACAGATGAGAATAAGTGATAAGCTTCTTCAGTACAGGGGTGGCATCTTTTAAAAAATCCTTGCACACCCAGTGCCTAGCACATAGTAAGTCCTCAACTATTTTTGAGTGAAAAATTAAATTTAGTGAGTAAAACACACAGGAAGGTAATTTTGGGGGTGCTGACTACAAGGAGCCATTTCCAACATCTTTTCAAGCCCAGTAGGTGCTGACCTCCTGTCTCTGGAGGTAGTCAAGCATAGGCCAGCCTAACCACCTGGAAGGACTGCGTGGTTAGCCATCTAACCACAGTAGTGATACTTTCAAGATGATTCATGCAAAGAAGAGCGATTGAAATATGTGGTCTCTAAAGTCCCTTTAATTCTGAGGCCACTGTATTTTTTTATCATCATCGCCTCTCTGAGCTTGAGAAAGAGTGAATTACTGTTCACTGTAGAGGTGATGACATCTGACGGGAGCAGGCTATTTCTGTTGGTGACTTGACAGAAACAAGAATTCTTTGAGGGGGACAAATAAGTAGAGAGCTCTGGCCCCGAGCCCTCCGCTGGATGGTGATTACTAAATGCAGGAAGTATTGTGACCCGTAAGTATCCAGAGAGCAAAATGAGGCCAGCTCTGGGCTTGACGTGGCTTTGACACTGGAGGCCTTGGGCTCAGAGACAGACTTCAGTTCTTTGTAACTCCTTTCTTTGTTTCAGCAGAAATCTGACAATTCCAGCCAGCAGATCTGCTGGGCTGCCAAGGTCCTGCCCATATACATTCCTGAGGATGGATGGTCTCCCTTGTGTTCTTTTTGTTGTAGGTTCCTGCTGACTGACCTCGGTCTAATCACTTAGCCCCACTGTAACAGAGTTCTCTAGTCATGAGAGTAAGTAATCCCTCCCCTCTTCTGTCAGTCTAAAAATGTTATACATATTAAGGATCATGATAGCCCTGTCAAGTCATTTTAATCTTTAAAAATAACAACACTGGACAAACTCAGCTTGGAAAAATCTTTGAGCCCTCTGTAAGAAGGCCCAAAATTATGCAATTAATAATATACCTAATGTAAAAAATAATTATAGGTAGTGGGTTTATTATTCAGTTGGTATTCATAGTGGATGTGGCCTAAGAAAGAACATAGGAGTTAAAACATCAGGCTCACATACGAATCTGCGTGTGACTTTGGTCCTGTCACCTCCCCTTTCTTGCTCAATAGCTCCTCGGTGCTATGGGCACAGGGGCAATAATAACCAACTCTGGAGGCTACTGGGATGAATTGAGAGAGACGAAAGCGCTTTGCAGGCTATGAAGCACTTTGAGAGAGAGAATTGAAGTAAATCCAGTTTCCTGGTTGGCATGGAAATTTCTCAGACTTTCTAGCATAGCGGTGGCGCCATTAGTGCAAATTGATCCACTTTTGTGTGGTATTATCTTATACTTCAGAAGTCTCTGGAGATGGAACCCATTGATTTAATTCAGAGTTTATGGCAGTGGTTCACAGTACTGCTACTGGGATCACTTGATTCATGCCAAACAGCGACTCTAAAAGGTATTTATACGTTCTGTCACTTACAGCCCGGACTGAATTCACACAAGAACCTTCTGGGTGTTCTGTTTCACTTTTCTTGCACATCTGGCCCCCATACAACTTTTTGACACTTCCAGTTTGTAGGGTTTACTAAATTTTTCAGCTATTATGTGTGACTTCACACCGATATGTAATTTTTAGGATGTTTGTTAACTCGGGCTATTTTCAAGGGTAAAAACTGCACTTCCAAGGATTCTGCCTAATCAAATTGTGCCCGTAAGGATTTCAGGATGGCAAGGGTTCAACAAAATGGTCAAATCCACTGATGACTTGAAAATGATACTTGAAAACAGTGAGTGGTCCGATTCCCTCCGCCTCCCTGGTACAGGGAAATCCATGGCAGTTATCATTTATTGTTCCAGTTGAATGACTTCAGCAAGGCAAGTTTGCAAAGTAAATGATAAGATAGTGGCACAGAATAGGGCTCCATTTTGACAAGGCCTTGGGGTATCAGGATGCCGCCCCCATTCCCCCTCTTGTACCTCTTGTGCACAGAATGGTTCACGTCACACTGAAACCTCCCAGCTGTAAATGAGCAATTCACAACCATTCTGTATGCTGGCTACCCTATTTGCAGGGCGTACTGCTCACTGGCACTAATCATTCTATTTATTTTAATCCTTACTGCTATTTTAAAAATTAAAAGCAACACGTGATTGTAACAAATTCAAACAATATAGAAGGCATAAAGTTAAAAAAAAAGAGTAAATGCTCTTCTCCTTCCTGATAAAGTCATTATTGTTTAATGGATCAGTATTTATCCTTTGTTCTTCTAAATTCTGTTCATATTCAAACAAATACAAGTCTAGATAGATTCTTCACTATACGATGAAATCATGTATTTTATTATGCAGTATATTTACATATTTTATTGTTTAAATATGTCTTGGAGATATGTTTACATCAGTACACATAGGTCTTAATCCTTTTCAGTGGCTGCATTTCATTTCCTAGTACATATGTTCTGCTTTTTGTTTTATCACTACTTTACTAATGGACATTTTTAATGCTAAGAAATGATGCAGTGAATGACCTTATTGATATCGTTGTGATCATGTGCCTGTATTTTAGTACTTCATCAGACTATGTGGGTTGTTAGAAGTGAAATGGCTAGATAAAAGGATATGCCTTTTAAAATTTTGGTGGCTGTTACTAGATTGACCGTAATAAAAATTTCACCAATTTATGCTCTCACCAATGGTGCATGAATACTGTATGGTCTGTCTTTCCAATTTTTGCCAATCTGTGAAGAATGGGGAAAAAAACCCTCATT